AAAAAACTCTCCCCTGTTTACAAGGCTAAATTCCCGGCACTCATAAACAGATCTTTCCACAGCCTATGCCCGGATGTATTTCTCCGAGTAACTAAAACCAATTACTCTCTACACTCACCCACACTCACCAAGACCCCTTGGATTTTCGCGGTGGTATTCTTGTGTAGAATTCCTCCCATATTTCTCTCTCTACCTTGGTGGTGTGTAAAACCCACACGCTTAGCTAGGCAATGTGAACTCTTTTATAGTCAAATATCTCCACACATCACATGCATCATAACTAAGATACAAGAGAGAACACGTCCTCTCACATGTATTAGTGCGTATGCATGTTCCTTTTTTTCTTTTCTTTGCTACTGTTTTTTTACTTCTTTTTTTATTTTTCTTTTCTTTCTTTTTGAATATTTAATCAATATTTTCCAACAACTCGTGCCAATTTTTCCTTTCATAAATGCAAGTATTCGTTCGCAATCTACAATTCTATACAGTGCACCATGTCCCCCTTCATTGTCTTTTATATCAAGTTTAAACAATAATATTTTAGGTATATTTTTATATTATTATTATTATTATTATTATTATCTCAATAGAATATAAAAAATGATATATTCTTGCAAATTATAAAAAGAATTCATTTTGTTCTCAAAGTAAATTTAATTATCATTATAGAGTCAATTTAAGTTATTAAAATATTAAATTAATTAATTTATTATTCCCATTGTGATTTTGAAATATTCATTAAATATGTTTCTTTAAAATGTTTTCTGATCAATGTTTTTAAAATTTTTATCAAAAATTATGAAAAATACATTGAATTGTTCTATGAACTTAAGATCAATAGACTCATTACGAAATACTGTTTTGAAATATCATATTTTCATAATATCTACTTATACATAAATAGAGATATTATTTGACAAAATGTTATATTCGAAACCTTGAAAAATCAAATAAAGACCGATCGAGTATTTATTTGCAACAAATAATATAAGAAAGAGTGAATATTTTTATTAATTAATAAAATATAGTTATAATTTTTTTGAACGGACAAAAAAGATAGAATGAATATTGTTTTAGAACAAAGAGAAAACAAGTTAAGGAAGCAATTACAAAGTGAATTCCTTTTTGTTTTTTAAATATTATCATTATTATTATTCTCCGTGTCATTTTACAAAACTAGACAAATACTCAGAGATAAAAGTAGCACTCCGTAATATTTATGGTCAAATATGACATTAAATAATGCAAGATATGTCAATGTATGATTCGAGAAACACAATGAAATGATAAGAAATAATGTGACTTGCCAATATACAATATCACATTTACACCATACTCCAATAAATTATTTAAATAAAATAAAAAATTTATAAACTTTAAACACGTTTTATTTTATTCAACTCTTTCAGTTTTTTCAAAATCCTTCCAATTTTAAGTGTTTTCCACCTCATTTCAGTTTCTTCAATTTTTTCTAACATTAAACTCTATTTTTTACTGCTCAAAAAGGATTATTTCTTCTTAATTTACTTCAACTAAAAAACAAAAGTTTCTAAATTTTCTTCTCATTCCTTTTCCATCCCCAGGCTTCCTCCCTGTTTCTCATGAAACAAACACACACTTGGTGAAACTTTTTCCCAATGGCGGATCCTGGGATATGAGAGCTTCCAGGCGAGACTAGTACTTTTTCCTCCCTCTGATTTTTTTTCAAAAAAACAATGTGAAATTATTAAAAACTGATACAATTTGATAATAATTTGTCTTATTGAATATTGAGAGATATGACCCTATATAATCCTAGTAGGAAAGGAATAATCAAATACAATTAGGAAAGGAAAGAATAAGGAACCTAATATCCTGATTTACTTCTAATATCCCCCGCAAGCTGATCAACGGAGACAAGGGGCAGCTTGGAACATAAGTACTCAAAAGGAACTGGCAGAAGCGGTTTTTTAAGAACGTCTACTAGCTGCTTTGAGGAGGAGACATGGTGTGGAGTCATAGT